ATGTCATTCTCGTTGTGAAATTAATATTTACTTATCACTATCGAATTACATAGTTATTTTGTGACAATATTTTGCTTAGTAACGAATAATAACTATACTGTGATCATTACAAAATATAAGCATTTAAGTCTCCAAATATTCACGCGTGTGCATATTTATAAGTGGATATTATAGATTCTGATGTAGACTGTTCTATCTCATGAAATAACAGTGTCGTTATTAGTGTAATTTGACATGCCTTCCTATTGGATGTCATAGTTACACATTTCATCAACACAAAATAATTAACCACACTTATATACACATAGAAAATATGTTTGATATGTGCATGTATATGACTGCTTGTTTCCGTAGATCAATATTATTCATACTTTCGTACATATCTTTTGTAATAAGCAGAGCATATAAAGTACTTGATTATAATTAACATCAACTAATCTAAACAGATAAAGTAAAATGATATTAGACTTTTTAAAAAAACTGTTTATCCCCGAATGTTACTTAAGAAATAATAACTATTCAATATTTGAACATAGCAAAGATAAGAGAAAGTGAATAGTGAGTTCAAATGATATCATTTCTTACTTAATATAATGATAACAATAACAATATAGAAAATAGAAATAATCACTATCTAGTTAGAATTTTTTTCGATATGTTTTTTTTCAACAACCTTAGAGGAATTGATGTGATAACATTATCTTTTAAGAAAATGTTACTCTAATTACGTACGTGTTCGATCAGTTAATAGAATCAAGTCAGTCTATCCTTATCTAAGTTCGTTAGATACAATTAACAGAAATCTCTGAATTTAAGTTTTACGCTGATTGATACTCTACCGGGCAATATCAATGTAACATAGTCAAGGAAGTTACCATACCATTATACAACATTTTTTGTTTACTTAGTCATAGATTATGGTAATGGAACGTTGAATTGAATGAAATTTGTAACTCAATGTAGTTATTAGGAAAAAATTTATGGTTCATCATAAATTGACCGCAGTTAAAAATGTGACGAGTGATATTAACGTATCACGCTTACTAGAAGAACTGAATGTCTGATTTTTGTCACATCTAGAGTCATTGAAGAGGGACACCATTACAAAACAATGTATTGGATAGAAATAGAAATCAATTTCTATTAAGCTTCAACAATCTTTCAAAAGAAGTTAATTCTGGATAGAAACCTCTTTTAAAATAATCAATAGAAGTAAACTGTCTTAACTTAAACTTACATAATTATCATTAAGTGGTTCCAGGTAATCAACATGAAACTCTGAAACTAGTTAGCACTCATCAGTAAAACATATCCGGGATCTTAAAGGAATTAATGCTTTCTATACGATTTAAACTCATACCATCCAGCTTCATAGTATGAGATGATGCCAATGAACTATCTATATAACCACTGACTATTTTTATCAGTAGGAACATGTTTCTATAAAAATATTCTAATCTAGTGGTGATGCACTCAAGTGCAAGACTGATAGGTTCTGCGTTCGAATCACACGAGGCGATGTTGTGTATGAGAACTGTTAAGGACGAAAAAGCCATCCAGTACTTTCAAGTTTTCCATGTTTGTCTAGATTCAATTGACTCAAGATCTCAACTATTGAAATTATTATAATCTCCAAAAAAACCCTTCTGATAAAAGTATTCATTGTTCATAAGCTCACTAAGTCAATATGCTATTGTATTACTAAGGAATAATAATAATAATAGTCAGACTATTATATAGCTTGAAATATTTCATAATCATCAATTCAACTTGCTCTATTTATGTGTTGAGATTTAGATGGTGGTTGGAGGTAGTCAACAGGAAACCCTGGACCCGGGTTTCGTGCTATTTGGCACTCGTCAGCAAGGTGTACCTGTAATCTTGAGGGAACTGGTGCTCCCTGGCGGATTCGATCTCGTGTCACCCAGCTTCACAGTCAGAGACGTTACCACTGAGCTCAAGATTACAGGTACACCTTGCTGACGAGTGCCAAATAGCACGAAACCCGGGTCCAGGGTTTCCTGTTGACTACCTCCAACCACCATCTAAATCTCAATACATAGTGCCCGCAGTGTCGAGTCACCTAGACTGGTGGCCACATTGCAACACGATCGATAGCATTCGATCTGCACTAATAAGGACTAGACAAGCATGACATTGATCACCACCCAGTGATCAATCAATTGTGATCTATTTATGCGTACATATTCATATACCCACAATATATTCTAGTATATCAATGAATTCATATATCATAGTATAAATGATTGTCAATTGAAAGTAACATTTTAAATCATTCTAGTTTAGATCATTGAATTTTTTTCTTTTTTTCTTTCTTTCTTTCTATTTTCTTTCTTTCTTAAATAAATAAATGAAAAAAAAGAGAATATCAAATTGATCAGCTGTTATTATTGATTTGGAAATGGTGCATTTTTTTTCTTCTTCTTCTGATATTTGACTCAGAGACAATATGACAAAAAAACAAACAAGTACAAACTTAGAAATGAGATCGAGGAAAAAAATGCGTTTTTTTTCTTTTTCTTTTCTTTGTTTATCCGTTTATTGATGACAGATCTCTGGAAATTATATTTTTTTCTAAAAAAATTTTTGTATTTTTCTATTGTAGTTGAAGTTCACCTCTTTAATTTGGTATATTTTATCTAATGAAAGAAAAAGTCGTCTATATATGTGATAACTTTATTTTTTAGTGGGAATCCAGTTCATTCAATGATCAAGGGTAGTTTTAAAAATTGATAATAGAATAATTAACAAATAATTTGGATATATATATAATGTGTTAATTGACTGATTATTTAAATAATTATAATATAGCTGAATGATATCCACTGATAAAATATATTATATTTCGACTATTATTAATCTATTTGTTATTTACGTTGATTTGAGATGCGTTTCTCCACCACTAAATGCAATTTGTTGCTTCAGAACTGGTCTGAGTCAACACCTAAATTAAGGATAGGGAGTGAAATAGTCGAATGCGTTGACAACTTCACTTATCTTGGAAATCTGATTAGCCTTATTGTGTTGGTGTCTGACGAAATCTCAGCACGGATTCAGAAAGCTCGTTTGACTTTTGTCAACTTATGTCACCACCTACGGTGAAGGTGATATATCCGTCTATCAATTAAGGGACGAGTATATTGAGCAGCAGTTCGTTCTGTTCTATTTTACGGCTGCGAAACATGATCATTAAGAGTAGAGGATACGCGTAAGCTACTAATGTTTGATCACAGATGCCTTTGAAATATTGCTGTCATCTACTGGGATCACCGGGTAAGTAATAGTGAGGTTAGACGCAAGGTATTAGGGGACGATGGTAAATAAGTTGATAAGGTTGTGAATCTTCATCGACTGAGATGGCTGGGCCATGTGTCACGTATGTCTGAACACCGTTTATCATGATACGTAATGCTGACTAGTGTTGGAGACGGATGGAAGAAAGTTAGTGGCGACCAAACCAAAATGTGGCATCATTCCTTGAAGTCGCTAACTTCTGGTGTGAGCCATATTGGTAGATGTAGACTACTTGGTTGGGGTCCATGCGACTGTCATAACCAATGGTTGGAGACTGTGTGATATGACTCAGAATCGATCACAATGGCGTCGGTGTATACACTCTCTCTTTCCCTAAACTGTAAGACTAAAATTGCTTTGTACGCAACCTTTCTTTTATACATTACTTCCATTGAACTAACTACTTCTATGAATTGGGTGTTCATCTTGTTGTGCTAATGAGGTAATGGAACTTGGATCAATGCATATATGTGCCTGGTCCTACGTTGTCGCTGACTGATTGACTATTTACGTTGATCGGTTCATGATTTCAATGAAACATGCATTACAATTCAGTCAAAAATTTTATAAAGATTAATTTAACTTGACTTCATCACAGATTGATCTCAACTGAGGTACAATTTAAAACTATGTGGGATTGGACATCTGTTTCACCTTAGTACTGGGTTACCAAAAATGAACATCCATTATCTCAACAGTGATCGAACCGAGGAAACCATAATCACTGAAATCCTTAAGTCACTGTTCAATGGTTCAATTTCAACCTCAATTAATTTGTATTCTTCACTGACCGAGAAGTATTTAATCAACTAGGTCTTTCTCAACATCATCTCAGGCTATATAGTTTGCTGGTGCGTGTTCAAATCCAGCGCCTCAAAATTTCATGTAAGTCTTGCTGATGAATGCCAACTAGCCTAAAGCTTAGGTCCAGAGTTTCCTGCTTAGTGCCACCTAGCATTTAAGCACGATTTAAGGAACGATGAGTCACTTAGACTAGCGGACACATCCAACCTGATCAACAGAATTAAACTAACACCAAGGATTTGGCAAATATGATATTGGTTACTACTAAGAGATTAATAAATATATTCTCTGACGTGCATAGTTGTAAAAATATATAATTTTTTAAGTGACCATCTATAACGCATTCATTCTTTGCATTGATTTGTATATTTAAAGATTGATTTTCGTAATCGACTGATATCAGTTGGAGGACTATTGAAAACTAGAGAGTATTGAACAGTTGTTTTACTTTGTTTTGTGACTATTACTTCTTGGGACGACAGAGGTATAGAGTTATTTCAACTTTGGGACGTTAAATTTGAATAAAGTGATTCATATATGAAGTTTTTTTTAACTTTCCAGTATATGCTAACAAATCTCAATTAGTCTTTATCAAGTGTATACTTGTGACTACCTTTGAGATTAACTTCTAAAGTTCTAGTGGAATGCTAATGAGTACTAGAATTCAATCATATCGAGTATGAAGGAGACAAGCAGGTTGATTTTAACGATTCATAACAAGTCAAGTGAGGTTGAAACTTAGCAAACAATTATTCCTGCAAACGAGTAGCCATTCAACAAAATCTTTCGTAAAGTTGTATATATGCATCAATGAGAAGTCATGATGAGGTAGTACTTTTAAATATACTTGAAAATAATTTGTCAGATGTGCTGTCACCTTATTAAGAAGACAATATATCGATACATGAAACAATAACACAAGACTTTCCACTAATTCCAAACTTTATTTCAAAAGCAACACTAAGCGTTGACATTAATTCACTAACAAGCTCAAATAACATAAGCATCACTAAAGACAGCACAAAAAGAAGCCTAAAAATATTATAAAAAAGTAATTAATGCATATCATACTTCTGTTTCTGTAAATGATTCACCACTTCCTTATTTCATCATAGTGAATGTACAACCACCATCAACTTCAGTTAACGTCAGAGTGCCAACCGATGGTACCTCTATACAAATAAGAACCAACAGCTCCAAGTTACACTTTTCTTTTACATAAAATTATACAACAAAAAAAGAAGACAAAGCTGTTTCATACTTTAAGAATCAAATATGAATTAATAGTAAGTGTAATTTTGAATTAAAAACCCATAACAACTATGTAAATACTAACAATTATGAATAATGAATTACATTGTTTTACATTAAACTAGGTAAAATAAAATTTATTCAGAAAAATAAAACATTCAAAACATAAACACATACACACACAACTAATTTATAAGATTGAAGATTAAGATCACGGCAGATAAGATAACATAAACTTTTATTATAGAACTAGTTTGTATTTCTATGAATAATTGGGAATAATAAAGACAAACAAACAATGAAATGTATTACATTCTGGATATACAATTCTGGTTTTATCAAATGTATGTCTATTGCTTCAGCTATGGTAAGAAAATGAAATCTAATTGTGTTTGAAAGACTTCTACTTACCTTGTAGATGAATTTGAACGCAGTCTGTCTTGATTAAGTGACTTATGTTTACAAGGTGTTCGGTTATCGAACTTCTTATTAACTCGTTTTACTCCTCCTCTTAACCACGATGGATAATGTTTTTGAATTTTTTTTTGGATAAAGTACGCATAAAACGACCTATATACGTGACTCCACATGAGCAGGTAAATACATTTTTACAGATTTATTTCATCTTACTTCGATTATCTTAACTGATAAGTTTATAATTGATTGAAAAACCACGATGTCAATTGTAAGTTAAATATTGTACCTAACCTGTCAGTAATAATTTTCTTTAAATAGAATGTAAATTAATCCATATTTCTGTTTATAATAATCTCATATAATTCACCTAGAAAATATACACCTACACAAACATATTCCCGATTCAACTGATGTTAAGTTTTACATTCATAAGACGATTAAGTGTATTGTTTTATTTTTATTTAACTATTTTATATTAATTCACATGTTTAATTGTTAAGCTTATTTTGTTTATATCCATTTCAACATACATGTAATTGCTTGTAGGTATGCGTTACAGTAATATTTATTAGGTTATATAAAATTATACAATAAATCACACAACGATTGATTATCATATCAGTTCATTCAGTACAACGATTAAAGATCACACCAATCTATATTACAGACAATCCATACTTTCTATAATCTTTGTATTTTACTATTATGCCCCGATAAGCATAATGAATGATGACTTTTGGGAGCCATTTATGGACCAATACTATGCGTATATTTTTATCGTATAATTGTTAAATGACTAAACTATTCATATTCGTGTTCCTCTCATCATAAGCTTTATTTTGATCTATGAACTATTATTATACGATCTAACATTTTTGAATTATGCCCTGTCTATTAATTACTAACTCCCTCATTCATAGCCACATTTAGCTAATTCTTGTACAAATGTTGTTTCATATTTTATGGTACGGTGTGGTTTGTCTGCTTGGTATATAAACCCCGTATGTTTGAAATAAATGATTCATATCACAGAGGCTGAAATTGATGTTCTAGACTTAACTCACTGGGCTAGGCAGGAAGCAGGACCAATCAGGACTCTAGACTGCTTGTACGTGTTTTATACGTCATAGGTCCGGTCAATAGTTCCCTGTTCTCTAATTGACAGTATCGTTACGTTATACATTAGCAGGGCGCACAGGCCACAAGTTATGACATTTACTCATGTGATCTTCTGAGTTGGTTTCTTTAAGATACATCTATTGTCAAGAAATATCTTATTCAATTTTTAATATCATATATAAGGGTCAACTTAATAGTTCATTATATCATAGAGTTAAGTAATCTTTTCTCTATGATTTCATCATAAATTTTTAATTAAATGAAGAGAATAGTTATATGTTACCATAGATTTTATTATCTTCTAAAGATATCACATTAATGAGTATACTTCAATTCATATAGGATGAATGAATATTCAATGTATTAAAATTAATGTATTTTAGAGAATACAAAATATACTACTAGCATACTACTAGAATTTTGAATTATTGAAACTTATCTATTCAAGTATTCTGTTGATAAACTTCTTGATAAAACTACTCTACTTTTAACTTTCCATTAATACAATCTAAAGAAAAAAAATGTTTACCCGTTGTGTTATTATATATGGGTTGTTTTCTTTTTAGAATATTAATGTCTTTTACTCATTTAATCAATAGATTTAATCTCCATATTGACAAATAGCAATTGTATAATGATATCTATTACTTAGTGAATGGTATTGTTTAAATCAATTCCCGATTGTTTATCATAGATGTTTAAAAATTCAATGTATTTACATAATATAATACATTTTTCAGATCAACATGTGGTGGTCGGTATTCTATATAATCCTCAAATTTCGTATACAGTTCCTCCTGATAATCATCACTAGATAACGCTCCAACGGTGTATTAATCAGAAGGTGAATACGAAGTGTTGATTAAGTTTATTATTGCACCACGAACAGATAATCAAAATTATAGGTACACTAAGCAAGCATGAAAGAGTAGTGCCGAAAAGCTAGCAGTCAAGCGAGTGAGTATTCGAGTCAAATGAACGAGTGTCCGAGCGAGTCAATGAACAGGATTAATATATATAAAGGGAAATGAATGAATTGTTGAATCAATTAAGCGACTAACAATAAGGTTAGCAGAATGAATATATGCGTAGGCAGTAAGCAATGCTCAAGTATACATATTCAGACAAGTGCAATAATAATAAAGGTACAATGATATAAGATAAGATGTTATTGTACGAATGACTCTATCCGTTAAATAAATTGACAAAGGGACTTAACCAAATTAAATATGAACAAACTCAGTTCCACATAAGCTGCTATAAACTCCATCAAAATTTATAAAAGGGATTTATTATTTTAAATATTATTGTTTACTAATGTACGATTGTTAAAAGATAGAAATTTCAATGTTAAATAATCATTCTTTTCAAATTCATTCAAATCTTTGGAGACTTCTTTGTTTTCAGCTCTTCAAAATAAATTAAAAGATTTGATGATTTATAAAAAGAATGGTGGGATTATAATTTATGGACAATCTTTGATAGACGCTAAACTGACCGTGAGAGTGCCCTCCTGATAACTAGGACTAAATGAGGGTTAAAAACCAATGTGAGGAATTAGATATATGATTTACAGTTGATGGTTAAGGTTAGGAATTAGATTTAGGGTTTTCATCACGAACTGACATCAGCTATAATGCCAAAACTCCATTTAGCCAAATGGATGGGTGAATTTCGCGCCAAAATCCGAGACCTGTCATCGTATACCCGATTGATTCGTCCACAATTTATAGTCTCTCCAAAAGAATATCCATGTTTATTTACAAAGAAGTATGTTCAAGAGTTATGTTAATCATTATTCCCTTCAACTTGTCTATGTTGTTGTTTTTTGTATGTAAATAAACAATATTATTTTGAATTGGATTTTCTTAATGAAATAAAAACACTTGTATTCATTTGTGGTTTTGTTTTACGTTGGAATGAATAATCGGTTTATTGATGTCTTAATCTATTTTCATGGTACATATAGATAGTTGAGTTTATCAGAGACAGTCGACAATAAAAGCAATAAATCTAGACTTCTTACTTATCACTATGAAACATCAATATTTAAAAATTGATGCTTTCCAGAGGATCCCATCTATGTTACTTAGTCTTCACTCAGTAACAAACCACATGTAAGACGGATATATTTACACAAACTGGTAGTGAGTGGTAGTATACTGGGTAGTAGTAGTAGTAGTAGTAGTAGTAGTAGTAGTAGTAGTAGTAGTGTGGTGTATGCTACTTATATCTGTTGACATAAGTGAAGTGAGAAACTTGACAGAAGAAAGCTAAAAAAAATCAAGTTGAAGAAAATAGAAGAGAAAACAGAAAGGAATTGTAAACTGGGAGAATCATACAGAATGTAAGGGACAAATGATAGAAATTTGCAAATAAACTATTTAATGGATTAGTCTCATATTTTACAAAGAGATTTTGTAATTTTGTAGTCGGATACAATCGGTTGTCCCAACTCCTGTTCTCGTTCATTACAGTAGTAGTATTGGTAATAATAATAATAATAATAATAATAATAATAATAATAATAATAATAATAATAATAATAATAATAGTATCTTAATAGATTGGAAATGATAAATGGTCATATTAATTTGATCCATTTTAAATAAATGTTAATATTTATTTAAATAAATAAAGATAATACATTGTCATAGTTCGTTTTAAACAACTATCAACATTGGACATTTTATTCCAGTTCATTTGATCGATACGATTATTTAAGGAAGAAATTTTAAAAAAAACCAGTATATGTTCAATTTCGAAGTAGTTTACGTCATAATCAATGAAAATTATCAAACAGAACTAAAGAATTAGTTATATTGAACACTGAATTCCAATATCTTAATAAAACTATGAACATGTAATGTTGAAGAGTGTAGTGGTGTTTCCTGATTTTCAATAGTTTGCTAGTTAATATCATTTCATGTTAAAGGACACTTTTTAAAATGAAGAAATACTAATTCACAGAACCATTAAGTGGAAATTTTGATAATTTAACAATTTACAGTGAATGTATTCAGATGTTCGTATATACTATTGTAGTCAACATCATAGAATGATATGAATTAGTAAATGACTAAAAACTAAGAAATGTCGAACTGGTATTTCATCTTAGTTAAGAGTTTCTCAGCAGTGAATATCCACTGTCCTAGTGAACATCGAATCCGTGCCTCGCTGGTTAATTTTAGACAACTGAATGGCACTAAATCTTTTTTTACTTATGATTTCTATCATTTCGCGATTGTCAAGTGCTAATGGAAACAATAAATGTAGACAACGTCAAGAAAAGTAATAAATGATAAATGTGTCATCAAACTAATACTTTGAATAGAATTTTCCATTTAAAGGAATCTAGAATTTAGATGGTGGTTGGAGGTAGTCAACAGGAAACCCTGAACCCGGGTTTCGTGCTATTTGGCACTCGTCAGCAAGGTGTGCCTGTAATCTTGAGGGAACTGGTGCTCCCTGGCGGATTCGATCTCGTGTCACCCAGCTTCACAGTCAGAGACGTTACCACTGAGCTATCCGAGCCGTGACTATCCTCCTGTAGGACTTTCCTGTTGACTACCTCCAACCACCATCTAATTCTCAATACATAGTGCCCGCAGTGTCGAGTCACCTAGACTGGTGGCCACATTGCAACACGATCGACAGCATTCGATCTGCACTAATAAGGACTAGACAAGCACGACATAGACATTGATCACCACCCAGTGATCAATCAATTGTGAGGAATCTAGAATGTCTTATTTTTAATCATTGATTTGATTTAAATGGTTGAATCTATGAAACTATTCAAAAGTCACCCTTAGAATTGTAATGCTGAATACAATGTCAACCAAAAACTACGAAAACATTTGCTTTTAATATAATAAACTGGGGACTTGGGTATATTGGGAGTCAACTTATATTATTCAAATCATTAACTAAAGTAGCATTAGCCCAAAAGCTTACAAAATCAAATGTGTATAAATTCCATCTAAAGGTGTTAAAATGCACTGTTGATTTTGTCCAACCCGAAGGAAAAAATAATAAAAGATAAGTTGAACGTTATCAACAAAACAAACTACTCAAAATGCAAAACATTTCATCGGATAAAGCTGCCGCCTTTTTAATGTACGTCTATATAGACACTAGTTAGCTGTCGGACGCCGAGGCATATTTTCATTCATATTAATATAAGCGAACAGCTGTGAAAGCACATTCGACTGGGAAAATGTCTAAATCGTGGACTAATGTACCATAATGAAAACCAATTAATTCTCAGAAGCATAGCAGTCCAGTTTGTCACCAATCAATAATCCTATTAAAATAGACCCAATTTGTTAACTATTTAGAGAGATCACAAACAGGTCCAGAGAAGATAATAAAACTTATCTAAATAATGATAATATAAGTGTTGACATCAATTAATCAGATATTATATCAGCAAAACAAGCTACTAGTCACTTGTGAAGTAATTCAAATAGCACAATCCTGTTTAAAGTTTATCCTGATAAGGTTGGTTGAGAAGACAGTGGAAGTTTCATGATTAAACCACCTAGCGTATAAAACCCAGTTTCATCAAAAATGTAAAACTCAATATCCAAATAAGTCATTGCTATACAAATAGATGTAATCTAACTTTCTGATCACTTATTACTAAAGATCAGCTAAAATTCAGCATGAAATGCCCAATTATTCAGCTAATTAAATAAATAGATACAAAGCAGCAGTGTAAATTACTGATTTACCAAGATACCCCATGAAATTCATGAACTGAGTATAAACTGTCCTATAGATATACCAATATTCCATCACTACTTCCTATTATTCTTATTATAGAATCATTATAAACTGGTTTGGAAGTGTGGTTTAATTGCATTTTAAATATACTTCAGATATAATCGTAAATGAGAGAAATCATTCAAATCAAAGATGCTTGCACTTGCGTATGTCCAAAAGAAACAAATGAAGCTAAATGGTAAACATTGACACAGATGTTTCTACATATTAGATCATGAAACAGGTTAAATCATAATTATCTTTGAACAAGTCTCATATTGTGTTAAGTGGGATTTGTGAAGATTTCACATACATTGAAAGTAGATTTCATCACGAATCGTGGTCAACTAGCGAACAGTGGACAGTTGTT